CCCTGTGCCTCCTTCCTGAGTAAATCCCCTCCTTTACCCCCCCAAAACCCATCCCCGCTGCGGCTGCCAGCATCGCCATCGCGGCTGCCAACCTGACTAAGCACCTCTGAGACCGGGCACGCTCGTTTCACAAGTGGCGCAGCAGGGGGTTAGAGGAAACACCTTCAATTTTTGCCTGCTCAGACCTGTTACACTGCCCACGCGATGCCCAAGGGACCCGGGGCACCTTGCCCTGGGGACACAGCCTGCATCCAGGGAAGAGTGCGGGGCCACCAGTGTTTCCAGCTATGGAAACAGGGCTGGTGCCAAGCCCGCCTGCCCAGGAAGGGAGAGCCCCGAAGTTTTGGCGTTAGGTGGTAGTAAATCAGAGCAAACAAAGCTCAGCGGAGGGGAACGTGGCGGGACTTTCTCAACCCTGATTATTATTCTGTAGCAATTTCCGTGAGAGTTGGGGCAGGGTTTTTACCAGAGCGACTTGGGCTGTTCTGCTCCTCGGGAACACTGCGCTTTTGTTTTTAAAACCAAGGGAAAAAAAAAATAAATAAAAGGGGAGGGGGATAATAAGCTTGAAACTTTGGTAAAGAGAGGAACTGCCTTCGCCAGCCGGGCTGGAAGAGCAGCCTCTGCTCCGGTGAGTGCTGCCTGCGGGTTGGGATGGGGCAGGCAGCAGGGGTGGGCTCCCCAGGGGTTCCTGCAGCAGAGGCATGCGGGGACGCCCTCGCTGGTGCTGGGGTTTGCCTCCTCCATCTCGTGGGGGTCCCCATCCCGCCCCCCAGCATCCCCAGAGCAGAGCAGGGAGGGCACGGAGGGGTGACAGCCAAGGTCCCAGCTCTCCTCTCTGAGGGTGGCCAAGTCCGGGGTCCCCGTCGGGGAGATGGAACTCACTTGTGATCCCCCCCACTCCTTCCGAAACTGAGCTAGAAGGGGCTTCACTACAGCCTGCACCCCCCCAGTGTTGAGAAGGGACTGGGACCTCCCCCCTGCCCTGCTCCTGGGGGGACCAGCCAGCCATCCTCCAGCACCTCGGGGTGCAGGAGACCTGTGGGTGGCTGGAGAGGGGACAAGGGACCAGGTCCCCCAAGGCAAAGGGCCCCCTTTCCCCTTGCCCACCCTCCACACCATGTCCGCACTCACCCGTTCCCCGGCTGCCCTCGGCGCTCCGGTCCGGTGCCTGGAGCATCCTCCTCCTCCTCCTCCCTTATAGCCGAGTGTGGGCAGGCGGAGCCGCCGCAGGACTGTCCCCTCCGGGGGCACTGTCCCCAGGCAGTGTCCTGCCCTCCGCCTGCCCGCAGGGCACACGGGCAGGACGGGACGGGGGGACAGCTCGCACGCTGAGATGGGATGGAGATTGTGCTGCACGGCTGCTCCAGAGGCTGTCACCCCTGTCCCCCCACTCCTCACGTCTTCATCAGTCTCCACAGAGCACCGAGGGGGTGTCTGTGTCCCGTCGCCCCCCCCCGGGTGACCCCACGGCACTGCCCGCCCCAGGGAGTGGGAAAACGGGGGGGCAGAGAGGAGCTGGAGCCCAGTTGCTGTGTGGCTGCCCAGCTTTCCCTCCCGGCTCAGCGTGGAGGGGGAAGGTTGAATTTATTTGAAATTCCATCAGGAGGAGAAGCAGGAGCCCAGGCGGGCAGGAGGGGATGGGGCAGGGGGCTGTGCATGGGGCAAAACCACTTCCCCCCCACTGCACATGCCCAGGAGACCCCCGACCAGCAGCAGGCGTGGGCTTGGGGGCTGGGAAACCCCTAACCCCAAGGACAGGGCGTTTTGGGGGTATCTTAGTGCCCCTGCACGGGTGCGGCAAGAGTGAGTCTCAGTGATGGGATCGGACCGCGGCACCCTCACCTGGGTGCACGGCCATCACCAGACTCAATGGCCCAAACCTCGGGACCGGTGGGCTCAGGTCCTTGGGGCGAGCACCCCCTGTCCCTCCAGCCAGCGCCATGGAGGAGGACTGAAACGGCTTTTTGGGAACAACCTCCACCTGCACCCTGTGCAGAAAAGCCACATCCTGCTCTTGCTGACCAAGGGGACCTGACGCTGGGGCAGGATGGGACCTTCAGATGCTGGACATTTGCCCTCCAGTGTTGCCACATCCAAACAGTCTCCCTTCTATGGTCCAAGGCCACGGAGGGAGGTCCCCAAAGCCCCGGGAAGTCAGGGCTGCTGCTGGGGCAGCCCCCTCCCGCAGACAGAACGAAGCTGCTTTCTTCAGGCACAGGTGATTTTTAGCCATGAGACACCTTTATTTGGAACAAAACCATAAATAAATAAGTGTGCACAGAAACCGGGTGGCTTTAAAAAAAAGAAAAAAAAAAATTGAACACAAGGCTATTTCAATTTAATACGTGGTTAATGCCGGGGTGCCCTGCCCCCTCCCCAGCCTGGGGGTCCCCATCCTGCACCCCAACGGGACCCTCGCTGGCTGCTGCCACCCGGCTCGTCCCCTCCCCTTATCTGGGGGCTGATCGCGGCCAAGGCCATCCAGAGCTGTGTTTGCTCCGGGCGGCCGGTCCGAATTGCGGGGTTGCAACAAAACCTGATTGCAAGAGGCTGGCGGGACATCTTGTCCCCCCCCTCCAGGTCCTTGCTGAGTCAGGGACTGGCCCTGGGTGACAGCAAGGGGGGGCAGGGGCTGCTGGGG